CAACCCAAATCACCTGAATTTTCGTACATCAGACCGAATTCAGTCTAGAAGCTAATACGTCAAATTTGGAGAAACCCGGTTCAGAGATAGCTATAGTTCATAAAATGCACGATAGGATTAGATAGATTTTGATTTTGTACCAAATATCTCATAGAGCTCTGAAATGTCCTGTATAAACCTTTTTACGAGAGCTCTACTAAATATGCATAGTGGTGTAGGGTATCATATAGTCGGCCCCGCCCGACTTTTGAGCTTTCTTTACTGGTTATATTTGGTATTTTCGTCTTTTTAGCAATATTATTCCCTGGAATTGCATCAAATTTCGTATTTAAAGTTCCTAATGGGTACTACAGTCTATTATGTAAAACAACGTAATAAAATAATAACTCCATACATTCGCTATTTTTGATATTTTATCAGAATTTTTAACGGATTCCATTATTTTTATACCCTACACCACATGGTAGTAAGGGTATTATGTCTTTGTGCATTTGCAGGTCGCATTTATTATCCGATTGAGACGAAATTTATCCAAACAACATTTGTGTGGCCCAAGGACGAACCCTATTGAAATTGGAGATAATCGGAAAAAATTTAGGTATAGCTCCCAAATATATCTTCTTCCGATTTGCCTTTTATTGTGCACCAAACGTGTAATATCAGCCCAAATATTATGGAATTTTGCACATACAACCAAATTAGGCCTGAAAATAAATTTGATCGAGATCGGTTAAGATATAGCTATAGCTCCCATATATATTGTTCATCCGATTTGTTGTTTGTGTCCTCCGCAGCCGTAATATTCACACTGTAACAACTATTTGGGGAAACATATCGAATACAGCTCAGAAATATCTTTGCCAAATTTTATCGAGATCGGCTCAGATTTGGATATAGCTTCCATATATATTTATCTGATTTCAAATTATTTGTGCACCAAATGGACAATACAAGTCCGAATTTAAAAAATACAAATGCTTCGGCATATTTAGTCCCTTGAACTTTAAATTATAATTATAATCATAGAGTGCATGATTGAATTCTCCCGTAAAACTTTTAATTGTTATGTGAAGCTTTACTAAATTAGCAAAGTGGTGTAGGGTATCATAAAGTCGGCCCCACCCGACTTTGGGACTTTCTTTACTGGTTCCTCTCTGTTGCGGTGTAAGTTCTTGCTCTTTTTGGAAATTTAATGGCTTTAACCCGAGCTCATTTTTCAATATTTGCCGAATGAAAAATAGCGATATGTTCAGCTCAAGAGCCATTTTCGGCCACTGCGACGCGGGTTCCGATCATTTCGCTTCTTTACTTTTCGAACTATATCTGCTGATGTTGCTGTTTTCTTCCGTCCACTTCCTTGACGTCGGGCTACGCTACCAGTATCACGGTAACTAGCGTGGTTATGGTTTTCCAGCCAAATATAAAAATATCACACTATCTCTCTTGAATTCCGTCACGAATAACTTTTTCTCTGGAAAATTCTCACCAAAACGCTTTTGTACGCTTGTAAACAATATAACGAGCTGTCATTGATATAATTTTAACATCTGTCGGAATAGTGTTTTAGAAATGACAGTAGTCTGAAGTTGGTTGCAGTTTTTTCATCTCCCCCTGTGTATTGGAGAAACTAGCTTTTATCTATGACATGACCTTTTGTAAAAATTTTCCAGAAACCCAGTCTGCTGAGTTTATATGTAAAAATTATAAACAAACGTATACCTGGTAATTTATTAATCGAATAACCTGGACATTATTTTACAAAATTTCTTGCTAACCAGAGAGTTCTTCTTCAGCTGTAAGCAAATAGCCTACTGTTGAACCGCGTTCAACAACTTAGAGTTAAGAACATAATGAATTACCTACAAACTGAATTTTTCTTATTTCATAATTTACATTTGAATTTATTAACTGATATTAACTTACAAATATGGCAACCTTAAATCCATTGAGTTTCCACTCAACGGAGGAAAGGTTTTTTAATACCAATTGTTCCTACATCTTTATGAAGAAAATGTCTGCGAGAGAAATATGCATAGCCATTTTGAACTCACTTGGTTTTCAACAGTAACTGAAATAAGAACGAATAAAACCTTAGCTGTTCATTTAAAACATTCTAATACAAAAGCATACCGTCTTTCATTCTAACCAAAAACAAAGATTTACTTTAAACGGAGTTACAACCGCAATTCTCGAGTAAATATACAGTCCACTTATTTGGCCTACTCCCGAGAACGTACATGGTCCAAACGAGCCGTAGAGGAATTAACAAGCGATTTTAAAAAAGGATTACGTCCGCCGCATTGCCTTGATATTTTTCACACGACTTATTTAAAATGGAAAGAAGGTATGTAAAAAGTTATTAGTTTGTGAGCACAGAGTTTTGTTTCCTAAGAAAAAAAAAAAAAAAAGTTTAAATATCAAAAGATAAATTGCGAAATTTAAACAATTGTTTTCAACCGCAACCATCCAAGTCGCCGCTATTGTCAATATTCTCTTTACAATAAGAGAAGTTGTCCCGCAAAAACGCTGTAAAAAGCATCCGCAAGAACAAAAGGAAAAGCAAAAAAAGTTTGTTGCTATAAAGTTACGCAACATCTTTATTCGACCTTCTTTAGTTCCTACAATCACAAAAACAAAATCGTTCATCTACAAGAGATTGGGTGAGAACATTCTGTTGGTCTTTACATTTCGCATTTCAATACAAAATATAAACGACTGTATATCATAGTCAAAAACAACAAAAATCTCTTATATGCTAGTCAACATTACAGCAACATTGCATAAACGCACTCATCAGCTACAGGTTATTAAACCCTGCAACATTTTTAACATCGTCCGCCAATATTGTCTATTATAACAACAAAACCAAACTACATTTCAGTAGTAGTTGCTTCGATTGCTACCACACAACAACATACATCAAAAAAGGGCGCACTCAACAAAAATTCTCTTTGGTTGGTTGGGTTTCAGCAGCTGTTTAAAATTCTCTTTGGTCAGTTTGTTTCAGCAACTGTGTTTCAGCATTTGTGTAAAAAGGCAATCAGAGTTAGAATAAAGAGAGCGTTAAGTCTAACACCTCACATCAACTGCCGGCAATTAAGATCTATATTGTCATTTAAACTAATTTGCCGAAGAGGAAACATCAACGCGTAAAGAAAAAATTCTTTTTATTTTATTATTTCGAAGAACAACAATTGCCTTTTGTGTAATACGTTTTTGAAGGAGCTGAATATTTTAAAGAAAAAATTTTAAAACGCCAAAAAATATTTACCATCTGCCATTTAAAAAAAAAAAAAAAAAAAAAAAAAAAAAAAAAAGTGGAAGTAAATACACGGTGGTTTTACAACGCGTTCACTAATAAAAAGAAGTTGATGTCAAAAGTATTTATTTTTTTTTAATCGATTGGGGAAGAAGAAGAAAGTTACAAAATTATCAAGTTGTGGAATTCCATTTCAAATAAACAACGGTATATTTTTACCAAAACAAAATATTTGATAATCGTAACGAAATCGAAAAAAAAAAATCCCCAAACAAAGCATAACGAAGAAGGAGGAATACAAATGTTAGAACAAAAAGGAACAACGATTGCCAACTAAAAAAGTAAACAAGCATAATACTGTACAGCCCACTGTGGGTGAATGTTGCTATAATTTTCGCTGGAAGACAAACACTTTTTTGTCAACATATCAACAACCAATTAAGAGTTGCTAAATAAGGATAGAAATTAACTACAAATTAATATACAAAAAGATATACTACACCACGGATATCTCTGCCAAAGGAATTTTTTTAAGCTGATTTCATTTAAACTCTAAAACGAAGGGTTTGTCTGTTAAGTATATCATTGATATTCGAATTTGATCCGTTCCTTAAATTTGGTTTTCTCTTTTTTTTTTGCTGGGGCAGGAGATTATTAAAATTATACAATATTTCGCCAGTAACAAAAACCAGCAACAAGAAAATTCAACTATTGGATATCTATGTGGAATGAAAAGCAACCAAAATTAAACTGTAAGTACAGTGCATGCGTCTTTAAACCAACAACAGTAGTTTGCGAACAAAGACACTACGCTACAGGTCTTTCAATTTGAAACTAAACAAATAATAGTTTGCCAAAATTTTTTGTCAATACTTCTCGAAACGCTACTTCGTTGTTGGCGAGATTTATCTTGTGTGTATTCAATCAATTTTCGTTGTGAGGGCGAAATAAGTGACTTATTCGTTCTTTTACGTTCGTTTATAAGTGAAGAAAACAATTTCTGCTGCTCTGGTTAGTTTTCTTGGTTGATTTTTTTATAGCACGATGATTATATTGCACTTTTAAGCATTTCGAAAAAGGTGCTATTTCGTCGAAAGTTTCATGTTGCAGTGCATAATTTCACTTTCTGTATATGAACATTGGGTGAAGTATTTAAAGAAGATCGAATAGAGTTTAGATTTGATTGTTCGTTGGATAACCCATAACAAGGTTGCAAGTGAATACTTAACGATAGTTGACAAGTTACAGGTCATTTCGAGCTCAGTAAAAAATTTTTTAATCTTACAAAGACCGAAATTTAATCCCTCGATTCTGGAATTAACACAAACGCCAAAGTTTAACAAATTCTAACAAAAAAGGCGAACAGATTTAATACTGCTTTACATTCCAAACATATTTTATACCAAAAGTTAAAATCTAAGTGCTGTACGAATACATATTGGTTACACCCATTCAAACCGCTGTTGATTGATTTGGTCTTGATACTACTTCCTACTTTTTTCGCGCAATATTTTTCTGTACTGGTAAAATTCTCACGGTATTTGTCTGTATTCTTAATAAAGACAAGAATTGGATGTAGAATTGCAAGGAGTACTTGATTTTCTGTTCAATACCATAAGTCGGGATTGCACAATAAAAAACATTCTCTTTTTGAATATTTTCAAATATTGTAGAAATTTCGACTAATTGAACACAGTTTTGCTTAAGTTGTATCATTTCAATTGTTAACCAATACCTCATTATGACCAATACTGAAGATTCCGGTGCTGAAAATGCCGTCCCTCCTCAGAAATTTATATTCTTTTCCGACCAAATTATTACGTTTTGTGCTGATTTTGGCCAAATGGCTATTGAAAATTTCACAGCCTCCAGCTTACAAGTTGAGCTTGATGATCTAGAGAGGCGTTGGCGTCAGCTTGCTCATGTTTATGATGACGAAATGACTTCATCCGATTCCAATTTGTCAAAAGAAGCCAAAGGGGCGATGCATGGCAAGTTTTCAGAATGTTGTCGATCGTATAAGGAATGCAAATCCTCAATTCTCGACCTGATTCAGATCGAACAACAAAAACTTTTGGGTTCAGTGTCAAAATCTAAGGAAGAAAATAAAGTTGCAAGCAATGACACAAGTTTTTCGTTAAAGATACCTGCGTGTGATACGGAGGTCTTCAGTGGTGGATACGATAACTGGCCAAGTTTCAGGGATATGTTCACTGCTATATATTCCAATCATCAAAAATTATCTCCAGCACAAAAATTGTTTCATTTGCGAGCCAAAACTAGAGACGAAGCAAGCTTAATAGTCAAGAGATTTCCGTTAACCGATAATAATTTTGAGTTGGCATGGGAAGCCCTTCGCCAGCGATATGAGAATAAGCGTATTCTCATACATCATCAACTTAGAAAGATTTTCGAAATTGACCATATTTCAAATGAAAAAGGCAAAACATTACGGAATCTCCAATATACCATTAATAATTGTCTCTCAGTTCTGCGAACTTATAGTGTTTCGGTTATTTCCTGGGATCCTATTCTGGTTTATTGGGTTTCCTCCAAGTTACCAGAGGAAACGTTGACTGCTTGGGAGAATTCACTTTCCAATCATAAAGAAATGCCATCCTGGGACCAATTAGATTCTTTCCTAACCAAACGGTTGTACATGATAGAGTCGATTTCGGATATGAAAACACCAAAATCCCATTCAACTTATTCCCAAAAGACCAACAATTACAACTCTTCCACTGATTCTCCGCATAAGGCATGTAAAGTATGCCAACAATCCCATCATCTAAGGTCATGTTCCACTTTCAAATCTTGGTCACATTCGGAAAAACGTAAATTTGTTTTCGACAGCAAAATCTGTGAAAACTGTTTATCATATGGCCATATCTCGAAAAAATGTAAGAGCCAACATGTTTGTCAAACCTGCAAACAAAAACATCACACTTTGTTACACCCTAATGAGGGTTCCTCTGTTTCAAAACCCGCGGGTTCTCAACCCAATTCAAAATGGCAGGCACCTAAGTCTGCATCCGCATACCACGTCGAAACCTACTACGACGAACCGCCCACAACACCCGCTGAAGCTTATGCAGATACCTCGTATGTTCAATCCAATTTTGCTCAATCAGGAGAAAAAACTGTTCTGCCCACCGCATTGATCGACCTTGAGCACCAAGGTATACTATTCACAATTCGTGCATTCATTGACCAAGGTTCGCAGGAATCATTTGTTTCAAGCCGTGTGATAACACGCTTTAAAATACCAACCAAGAAATCCTTTACAACTATTTCTGGCCTTGGCGGCACACTCCTTGAAAATTCATCCAGAATGTGTGAATTAACCCTAAAATCTAGAAGATCAGAATTTAAGATTACCGCATCTGCCATTGTCGTTTCTAGTTTAAATCAGTTGATGCCATCATCTATTAATGCAATAGACGATTTCACGAAGTTATCAGGCCTAGAGCTAGCCGATCCAAACTTTTTCAAACCAGCTCCTATCGACATGTTGATCGGTAGTGATATCTTACCAACTATTATCAAACCTGGATTGGAAAAGAATATTTCAGGAAATTTGTTAGCGCAAGACACCGAATTTGGGTGGATCGTTAGTGGGAAACCCAAACCACGATCTGTTGTTTCATTTGCTTCTTGGACGGTCACGGTAGATCCTTTGAATGAAGAGTTAAGAAAATTCTGGGAAATTGAGAATGTTTCAAACGAAAACTGTCTTTCCGAATCTGATCTTTGGTGCGAAGAGTTTTACAAAGATACTGTTTATCGAAGAAATGATGGCAAATATGTTGTTCGTTTACCTTTTAAACAGAATCTGCCATCTACCCAGTACCTTGGGTCTTCTAGACGTGCTGCAATGGGCCAATTTCTGAGGATGGAAAAGACACTTGATAAGGATCCTAACCTTGCTTCGGAATACAACAAAGTTCTTTCCGAGTACATTTCCTAAGGTCACATGAGACCAACCAACAGTTTCGAAATCGTTGACAATTCAAAATTCCTTTCATTTTACTTGCCACACCATGCAGTAGTGAAGCCTGAGCGAACCTCCACGAAAGTAAGAGTTGTCTTTAATGCCTCAAAAAGAACTGACAGTGGTTTTTCATTAAACGACATGCTCTACACTGGTCCAACTTTACAAAATGAGTTAATGAATGTTGTTTTACGTTGGAGATTATATAAATATGTTTTCAATGGCGACATTCAAAAAATGTACCGCCAAATTTTCGTTCATGAAGATGATCAGCAATACCAGCGAATTCTGTTTCGAACTTCTCCAGTGGAGAAAGTTCAAGATTTTGTTTACAAACCGTTACCTTCGGGGTAAATTGTGCACCATATTTGGCAATTCGAACATTGCTTCAATTAAGTGATGACAGCAGAGAATCACACCCATCCGCATCTTCTATTCTGAGGAATCAAATTTATGTTGACGACATATTATCTGGAGCCCATTCTTTAATCGAGGCAACATCATACCTTCACGAGATGATTGATTTGTTAAGTTCCGCAGGATTTCCACTAAAAAAGATTACCTCGAATCACCCGCAAATTATTAAAAACATTCAACCAGATGATCTTCTTAGCGAAGACTTTTTAAAAATCGATGATGTTAGTGAAACCAAAACTCTGGGCATTCAGTGGAATGCCATTTCCGATTACTTCTTCTACAATGTGACACACATCGATTTACCAACCGAATCTGTTACAAAGCGAAAAATTTTATCCATTGTTGCCAAGTTGTTTGACCCAGCTGGATGGCTAACCCCAATTATTGTTGTCGCCAAACTTTTGATGCAACAATTGTGGATTGATGGTACGAATTGGGACGAAGAAGTCAAACAACATTCCTTCGAAAGATGGAAATTTTTCATTTTGAATTTTTCTAACATACAGAAAATCAAAATACCTCGCTGGGTACGTTTTGCTCCTGACAATAAAATACAAATTCACGGCTTCTGCGATGCTTCAGAGAAAGCTTACAGTGCCTGCTTGTATATACGTTCAACTTCCTCTCACAATATTACATATATCAATTTACTTGTGTCTAAAAGTAAAGTAGCTCCATTAAAAACTGTTAGCCTGCCCAGATTAGAATTATGTGGTGCAGCAATGCTTTCTAAGCTTGTAAGATCTGTTTGCCAAAACTTGGAGCTCTCAACGTCGGAAATATATTTATGGACTGATTCCACTATAACTCTAGCTTGGATCAGTAAACCGCCTTTCCATTGGAAAACGTTTGTTGCAAATAAGGTTTCTGAGATTCTTGACAATATTGGTAATGTAAATTGGAGACATGTTTCTTCTGTAGATAATCCTGCAGATCTTGGCACTCGTGGCTGCACTGCTGAGGAATTACAGTCCAATTCTCTGTGGTGGAATGGACCAAATTGGTTAAATAAAGATGAAGTTCATTGGCCAAATCAGGTCACCCTCAAAGAACCACAGCTTGAAAGAAAAGTTATTGCGCTTCATGCTCAGGTAGCAGGAGACGATTTATTGGGGAGATTTTCTTCTTTAAAGCGAGCTTTACGAGTCTGTTCCTACATATTTCGATTCATACATGGATGCAGAAAAATGTTGTCGCCTAACCTGCATAAGAATGTCATAACGGCTGAAGAGATTTCTTTTGTAAAATACTATCTGATTCGATTGGCACAAATAACTTATTTTCCGTGGGAATACAAAGCTCTCGAAACGAATCAGCCTATACCCACTAAGAGTAGATTGTTGACTTTGAATCCAGTCCTCGATGAGAATAAATTACTACGAGCAGATGGTCGCCTTGCAAATGCTGACCTAAGTTATAACGAACGGAGTCCAATCATTTTACCTGAGAAATCAAGATTTTGTAAACTATTCGTAGACTACACTCACGAACTACTACTACATGCAGAACATCAGGCTATGTTACGAACAATCCGTCAGGAGTTCTTTGTGATACGATTGAAGAGTATTGTACGTCAATGCATCCGCAATTGTAACAGATGTGCCATTTATAAACACCGATTTCAAAATCAAATCATGGGTGCTTTACCCCCAGAACGCTGTACATTTTCATTACCTTTTACCAATACAGGACTTGACTTCGCGGGTCCTTTTGAACTCAAAACTTCTCGGCTTCGCAACGCAAAAATACAAAAGGGTTATGCCGCTATATTCGTATGTATGTCAACTCGTGCCATACATTTGGAAGTATGTTCAGAATTAACAGCAGAAGCATTCATAGCTACTTTTAGCCGATTTGTTGGACGAAGAGGCTTCCCGAATAAAATGTTTTCTGATAATGGAACCAACTTTGTTGGAGCCAACCGCTTACTTGCTGAAGAATATACTCAATTCCTACAATCCGCTGAACAACATCTGGTGGAAAAATATAATATACATGGTTTCTCTTGGCACTTTATCCCGCCCCAAGCACCACATATGGGTGGCATCTGGGAAGCGGCGGTAAAAAGTATGAAAACTCATCTCCGAAAAGTTGCAGGACATTTAAAATACACTTACGAAGAGTTTTCTACACTCTTAGTAAGAATCGAAAGCATACTGAATTCCAGACCATTGTCCCCGATAAACGAAGATCCATCTGAGTTAGTGCCATTAACTCCAGGTCATTTGTTGCGAGGTGCTCCTCTTATGGCTATACCAGAACAATTCTCAGACAACCTGTCGTTGATGAATAGATGGCAAAGACTAAAGACTCTTCAACTACACTTTGCCCAACGCTGGAAAAATGAATATATTACAGAGCTTCAACGTAGATACAAATGGAAGAAAACTCAACGAGATTTAAAACCTGATGATTTCGTCATTATAAAAGAGGATAATCTACCTCCTACTGAATGGCGGCTTGGACGCGTTGTTAAGGTGTTTACGGGTAAAGATTTCAAAGTTCGCGTTGCGGAAATCCGCACGCAAAATGGAATCATTATACGCCCTGTTGTTAAACTTTGCATTCTACCTAACTGTTAGCTTTCAACTCTATGCTCACTTACCTAATAACAATTTACATTTCAGTACCGCTTCTAGTGTTCCAAAATGTCGTATCTGCCGAGATAGGCATTTCATAAAATCATGCCCCACCTTCCAAAAAATGCCTGTATCAAAACGTCGCACCGAAGCAAAAGACAAAGGCTTTTGCTTCAACTGTTTGTGTACAGCTCATACCCGTGAATGGTGCCCTAGTCGAAAAACGTGCATGGTATGTCACAAGGCACATCACACTATGCTACATATGGATGCTAAATCTAATCAGCAGTCCTCCAAAACTACCCAAAGAGAACGTTCCAAGTCACTCAGTCCCAGTCCAGAACCGAAACCATACAAGAGCCGTCAGAGTCGCCCTAACAAACGCGAAAAGAAGTCACCAACAACAACATCCAAACAAGCTTCTTCAACTCAACGTCACTGTTCCAAAGTTAGCGATCAATTAAGTTCTCGCTCAAAATCTCACGTGTTCCTTCCTACTGCGCTGGCAAAGGTTGTTACAGTTGAGGGTTGCGACAAGGTACGCCTAATGTTACACTCTGGCTCCGCACAAACGATGATATCCATCAAGCTGGTAGAGAGATTGGACTTGCCACTCACCCAAAGAGCTGGAAAAACGTTTACAGCCATAAACCTACAATCGTTCCACGATCCATCCGTCAAGATTCACATCACTGGCGAAGTACAAAAACAACTGAATATGTCTACTCCAGAAGCAACCAAAGAAAAAAGGCTTCAGTCTATTTACAACCATCTTTCGGATCTGGCAGATCCGCATTTATTTAACCCGGTCAACATTGAAATATTACTGGCCAACGACCAAATTCCCAAAATTTTACGTGCTGGACTAATTCAAACCGCTTCAAACATGCCCATTGCGCAAAGTTCAGCCTTCGGTTGGATTATATCCGGAAGCTGTCAATTTTAAGGGGGCGGCATGTTGAACCGCGTTCAACAACTTAGAGTTAAGAACATAATGAATTACCTACAAACTGAATTTTTCTTATTTCATAATTTACATTTGAATTTATTAACTGATATTAACTTACAAATATGGCAACCTTAAATCCATTGAGTTTCCACTCAACGGAGGAAAGGTTTTTTAATACCAATTGTTCCTACATCTTTATGAAGAAAATGTCTGCGAGAGAAATATGCATAGCCATTTTGAACTCACTTGGTTTTCAACAGTAACTGAAATAAGAACGAATAAAACCTTAGCTGTTCATTTAAAACATTCTAATACAAAAGCATACCGTCTTTCATTCTAACCAAAAACAAAGATTTACTTTCAACGGAGTTACAACCGCAATTCTCGAGTAAATATACAGTCCACTTATTTGGCCTACTCCCGAGAACGTACACCTACTTATGTTAAGCTAAATTGCAAGTGTTCTTATTCACTGGAATGAAATTACATTTTCCTAAGAATTTATTTTACATAACCGACAACTTACCAAAAAGTTTTCCAAAACAAGAAAAACAGTATGGAACTAACCTGCAATGAAATAAAAAAGAACAGGGTATTACAATAAGCTTACAAAGCATTGAGAGAATTTAATTGAAAGCATTTTTGAATTACAACTACGAAGAGTATTGTAATTAATGCCAAGTAAATATATTCAAATAATAGTAATTGTTTGTTAAATTTTCCTAGCGTATAGCAATCACATTACTTTTCATGGCCATGGGGGAGAGGGTGTCCTTGTACCTAGCATACTCCGAATACAAGTGTAGCCTTCTGCTAAAAATACATAAATGAATATTTTTCAACAAGTTTGACATTGAGAACTCCCACGAACTACAACCTTTGCATATTTCTTGGGAAATTGTATATTTTTTCAACTCAGTTTGAGGATTAATAAAAATGTTGGTGAGCAAGGAAACGAAATAAAAATTCATTATACCGTCAAACCTTGTTAATACGAAACTAAGAAATGTGTTTACAAAATCAATACATGT